ATCAAGAATGAAACATCTTCTTTTAATAGAAGACCTGTATAATATTTTCTATTCATAGAAGACTTATAGGAGGTTTGTGAATATTGATATATGAACTATGAAAAATATATATTGATTATAGAAGACCTTCCTATAAAACATCTTCTATTTATGGAATTCAATCCACAATTTCCTATTAAAAAAAAACCTCCGCAGAATACTTTTCATTGTCATTTTGCTGATGGAATACCTTTCACAGGTCTTAATTAAATGGAAAATTTTCACTGGACTGCTTTGCATAGAATACATTCCACAGGTTTTTTGAAAAATGAACCTATAGCAGGTCTGCTGTTGATAGGAGGTATTCCACACATATTTTATTGATAGAATACCTTTCACAAGAAAAAACAGAATAGGTTTAGAATGAATGGATAGAATGGATTTCAATGTCACTTTGCACATGGAATACCTTCCACAGGTAAATAGAAAATTTTCACTTGACTTCATTACATGAAAACCCTTTCAAAGATTATATGAAAATTGAAGACCTGTAGCAGGACTTCGGTGGATAGGAGATATTCCACATTTATTCTATTGATAGCATACTTTCCACAGGTCTTCAATGAATGAGTACATTCAACAGCTGCCAGAAACTCGCCAGCAGGTCTTTTATAGTTTGAATTCCTTTTGGGACTTCCTTTTGTGGAAGACCTCTTCAATGAGTGGAAGACACCACAGACTTCTAATTGATAGAACACCTTCCTCAGTTTTCTAGAAACCCTTCCGCTGGTCTTTTATTTATAGAGTCCATACAAAGGGACTTCCGTATGAGGAAATCTTTTACCAAATCTTCTATAGAAAAAATAATATTCCATTCATTAATTAATCTCTATAATTTACAGCGTCAATCGGACTACCTACGCCCCTGGCTGGTGACAACAGTATTTCTGGTAATCTTGGACATTGCCATGATTTCGCTGACCGAGGACAATATCCAACTCATTTTGGGTTCATTGGTCTTAAGTGAGTACACCAACACTTTCAAAACTTTCCATATTTTTCTAACAATTCTCCACCTTCCCTCCTAACCAGTCTGTCAAAGTTTATCATGGTTTCCCATATATAAGCTCTACGAAAGATTTAACGATGAACGACGATTACGCGAAGAACAACGACCGCATCTCTGTAATATGGAACAGAATTACATTCGCAGTAGATCTTCGTCGACGAACCTACCCTATTACCACGAAATCAATGTCCACGTGCAGTCAATGCAAAATGAAAAACCCCCTCCCTCGTATGAGGAAGCTGTGAACATGGAAACTCCACCGCCACGTTTTGTTGACATACTGGGGTGGTTTGGGGCATCGGTGTGATTGAATGAATGTTTAACCGCAACACGTGTTGTGTGCCAGGCAGGTGGGTTCAAACACCGCCTTTCTCATCTAAGACTGATTTTTTTTGTGATTTAGAAACAAACAAAACATACATGTTTAAGCAAATGTTTAACGAAATAAAATATATAAAAAACCGGTTTAGTGTAGCTTATTTTGTTAATAAATTAATTATTTAACATTATTTTTTTAACAAACAAATTTTATTTTATTGTTGTTTTAATTACTGCACAGTTAAACATTGATATGACGTATTAATTGTCATTTAACAGTTTTTATTAAGTTTTAAACCAATAACTTCTCTGAATAATCTAGAATTTGTTATTAAAAAATTATAGAAATGCTGATTATAACTGGGCTTTACTGTTTCATATAAGTTAATGTATTTGGTTGTTTCTGGTATAAATATTAAGCCAAAATCTCAGTATCTCCATATCAGACAACCGCTGAAATCTCAAGCAGATAAAACGCTAATTAATCATTTACTCAGATTTGTATCCGTATTCATTTATAACACTTTTTAATGACATGTCACTCCATAAATTACCCAGCAGAGTTATTATTGAGATGAGTACAGTACCAATCAAAATAATAGCAAACATTTTGAAAACAAAGCAGATCACGTCTAAAAGCAGTTAAATCCAACTTTTGATATTTTGTGTGGTCATCGGCCAATATTTAGCGGGTAAAATAGACCATGACTTTAATGTAAAAAATAACGAACATTTCCTTGAAACCCTGAAAATTGTTATTTCCAGGGAAATCACCAATACACGAAAATCGTATATATAAGAAAATATATACAATCTCATATATCAAAGAAGGGGATGTTAGTTAGACCGCTTATAACTCAAGAACCGCTGGACTGATGGTGACAATTCTCACCAATACGGAATAGCCAGAAAATGAAAAAAATCTAAGAAAATCGCGTAAATTTTTTTTGTCATTTTTTTTTGGCATGAGATTTTTTCATTTTGTTATATTCAGGTCACAATTATCGTCCGATCCTTAAGAAATTTTGCATGGGGGTAGGGTGAGTGCTAGAATCATGAGAATGAATGTGTATGTATATTTAGGGGTTCAAATGGGTACACAATTATCGTCCGATCCTCACGAAATTTTGCATGGGCGTAGGGTTAGGACCAGAATCAAAGCCTGTTGTTTTAGAGTATGTATATTTAGGGGTTCAAATGATCTAACAAATTTAAATTTATGTGGGGGCTATACGAAAACGTGGACCTCTACATACTATGTTACGCCACCGGAGCTAGAACCCAATGTGACCTACAAATACCAATTTTTAAACAAAGCTCTAGAAAATGTGGCGAAAATCATCAAAATACCGAATATCGAGAAGTATCGTTATATGACGGCTATACCAAAACCAGGAACGATATATCTCATTTTCAATACCAACCATTCTAGGCACAATACTAATTGCTCTGCCAAATTTTAATACCCTACGCCAAATACTGGGGGATTTATTGTGATTTCAACAGACAGGCAGACAGACGGACATAAAATTTTATGCTGATCATGAATATTTATACTTTTTGGGGTCACCGATGAATATTTATAGTGATGTTACAAAAGGAATGACACAGTTAATATACCCTCTTTTCCAAAGACAAATATTTTATTAAGATTCTTCATTTCGTTTGGAAGCTAGAGCGATTTCTATAGACGGAGAGACAGAGGGACGGACAAGAATATATACAGGGTGAGATGAAAAAACTGCAACCAACTTTAGACTGCTGTAATTTCTCGTCCGACAGCTGTTAAAATTATTCCAGTGGTAGCTTATCATATTGTTTACAACCGTACAAAAGCATTATGGTGAGAATTTTCCAGAAAAAAAAATTATTCGTGATGGAATTCAAGCGTGATAGTGTGATTTCTTTTTATTTGACTGGAAATCCACAATTGGCTATCGTTAGAGCATTCCAGCATTTAAATGTGAATAAATCTTTTGTGTCTCGTACCATCGCTCGTTACCGTGGTACTAGTAACGTAGCCCGACGTCAAGGAAGTGGACGGAAGAAAACAGCACCATCACTACAAATGGTTCGACAACTAAAGAAGCGCCTTGATCGAAACCTGCATCGCAGTGGCCGAAAAATGGCTCGTGAACTGAACATATGGCAGTATTCCATTCGGCAAATATTGAAAAATGAGCTCGGTTTAGCCCGACGTCAAGGAAGTGGACGGAAGAAAACAGCACCATCACTACAAATGGTTCGACAACTAAAGAAGCGCCTTGATCGAAACCTGCATCGCAGTGGCCGAAAAATGGCTCGTGAACTGAACATATGGCAGTATTCCATTCGGCAAATATTGAAAAATGAGCTCGGTTTAAAGCCATTGTAATTCCTAAAAGTGCGAGAACTTGCACCGCAACAGAAAGAAAATAGACTAAATGGAGCTAAATTTGTCCTGCAGTTTGTAAACAAACAAAATGATCGTGTTTACTTGCCAAAGAGGTCAGCTGAAAATGTGCACCTTCGGTTGGCCACCATAACTCAAGAGGCGGTGATGGTGTGGGCCGCCATAACAGCCGATGGTCGCTCTCCGCTCGTATAAATCGACCGTGGCATCAGAATAAATGCCGAATATTATAGCGAAAATATTCTGGAGGATGTATTAAAGCCTGGGGCACGCAAACATTTTGGCCGCAAACCTTGGACATTGCAAGAGAACTCAGCACCATCGCGCCACCCAAGAATGGTTACAAAATGAGGTTCCCCGCTTCATTATCAGCGCACAATGCCACCAAAATCTCCGTTGGATTATAGTGCCGATCACCTCAAGCAAGCGATGTGCCGAGAATGGGCCAAAATACCGCAGAGAAACATTCGGGCAGCGTGTGACCAATCCTAAAGGTTACCAATTCGAACAAATCTAAACGTATTCTAAAATTGATGATTGATTTTTTTACATTCAATAAAATTAAAAAAAATGTGTTATCTCACCCTGTATATACGGAATCATGAACTTAATATACCCTCCATACTGGTGGAGGGTACAATAATGACCAGATACCGGGTACAAGGGTACGGCCAATATAATGCAGTTTTGAGGAAAAAATGATTCATAAAAGTATGGTGGTACGAAAACTACTCAATTATATGAGGTGTTGTAGCACTGTAATTCTGGAAATTTCCTTAGATTGGGTGAAAGGTACCCTTTTAGGTGAACTTACAAAAAAGATATGATTACGTACATAATCGACACAAGTGGTTTTAAAAATTTTAAATTTCCGAAGAAATATGAGCATTATTATATTCCTTTCTTTTGGTGCAAAAAGCTTTGTTTAAATGTTAACGGAAATAGTACTATTTTCAAGACAATCGACTGTATAATTTGTGGTATCTTAAAAATCCAAATGGGAACATTGAAAACTTAAAATACGTATAAACAATTCCATTACTTCTAGATTTAAAAAGGAAATTAAAAATCCCATACAAAATAGTATATAGTGTGCATGGGGCTGTATCTATGAATTTTGGTAGTATATACTGGCCCAAATTCTTTGATTTTGTAATTTTGGTTGACTTTCTGAAATTTGGTGTAGGTGTTTTAAAAACAAGTCATTAGATTCTAATAAATTTGCTTTGTTTAGTTTCGTACATAATTTTATTGTCTCTATTTGGTTAAATTTTATTTGAACATATTTTGAGTGAATTTTGTACCATTGTAAGTCTCTTAGTTATCCTTTGGTTCCTTCTTTTCCGATTCCTTTAAATCTCTTTCAATTTTACTAATTTTTTTAACTTTGTAAACGTCATGTCCAGCATTCCTAGAGGTGGAAGAGTTTTCCGTTGTTCCGTCTCGCAATCCAACTGTGTCATTTTCATTTGCTACCGATGAATAAAATGATGTAGTGGTATGTATTTCACTTTCTGTCACAGGATATGTCGCAAGAGCTGCAGTGTGTATCATGGTTGGTGTCAAATGTTTGCTACCACTGAAGACTTGCCCATGTCCTTGATGATGGACGCTGTCCATTGTATTGTATGACACATGTTTATGCCCTGAGTGTGAAAGGTGTCGCTCTTCACTTGCAGCAGCCGCTTCCTCGGCCGCATGTAAATCCATTATTGTCCCACTGTAATGAATAATGGTATTTCCTATGTGGAACTCGGCCGTCTCTTTGGCATCCTTTTCAGCTTTTATTTGGCGATATAATTTGAAAATGGGATACCAGGCCACAATATTGGAGACTGTAATGGGTGTTGGTGGAAAACAGAATGTTTGAATAAAATACACGATAGTAGCTTTGAAAAAAAATTGAGAAAACATTCCATAACATATACAGGATTATAGCTCTGAAAGTTTCTAAGAGAAAGCTTTAAAACATACACAAAACATCGTTTTAAAACTTCCTGAAAAAATTGGTCCAAAAAACTACGATTCTCAATCAGACAGTTCTTGAAAAAACACATTCTTTTATAATGTACGATTGTGTGGGCTGCCCTAAACAACCGCTCGTAGTAATCGACCGTAGCATCAAAATAAATGCCGAATATTATCGCGAAAATATTCTGGAGGGAGTATTAAAGCCTTGGGCACGCAAACATTTTGGCCGCAGACCTTGGACATTCCTACAGGACTCAGCACCATCGCACTCAGCACGCGCCACCCAAGAATGGTTACAAAATGTGCTTCCTCGCTTCATTTCCAACGCACAATGGCGACCAAAATCTCCAGATACCAATCCGTTGGACTATTGTGTCTGGAGTATTTTGGAAAGCAAAGTTGGCACTAAAAAATACCAATGAGTCGATCATCTCATGCAAGTGCTTCGTCGGGAATGGGCCAAAATACCGCAAAGCAACATTCGGGCAGCGCGTGACGGTTTCATTGGCCGTTTGAAGGACATAATTTGTGCCATAGGTGACCAATTCGAACAAATCTAAACTTATTCTAAAATTTGATGCTATTTCCGACATGTTTTGCTTTCTTTCAATAGAATTTTAAAAAATATAAAAATTATGGCGTTTGACTATGTTACAGTTTTTTATCTCACCCTGTACTTTCCGATGAGGGAAATATTTCGAGGTGTTAAATAATTTTTGGCCGAATCAAACTTATAACACCCTCAACACACAGTGTTGTGGGGTATAAAAATCCACCACAATAGCTCTGGGGGTTCAGTTTTGAAAAAAATCCATGATTTAGCTTTTATCCACAAAATAACCTGAAAAGTCTTATTCATTGAAAATGTCCTTTAAAATATATGCGATTTATATTCTTTGTGAAATCTAGTACTATTATTCTTTAAAATTGTTGCAATTTTAAGGCACATTATAGTCTTTGAGAACATATTTTTTTTTAAAAATCTGCTATTAAAGCTGCGATGGTCCCGACCTCGTGGTGATAGACTGACCTCGGAAGGTCAAACTAATTACCATCAGCAAATAGTTTTATAAGCTTGTATTTACCTATTAAAATAACCATTCCAATTTTTGTGGGTGTTTTCACCAGAAAATAGATAACAACACAAATCAGTGTCATTAATGGTGTGAGAATAATCCATGGAAGCAACTCCTTCGAATTTCCCTGCGTTAGTGAAAAAAGAGAACAAATTTTTAAAATAAAAATAAAGAAAAATATACCACCTCATACTTACCGTTTTAATACCATCTGGAATGGCCGCTGACGCCAGGACCATAACCAACAGTACCAATATAATACCATAGCAGCAATAGTATGCTGTCATGCGGAAAAGGAAATACATAGTTAGGGAAATACCAATTTTACTCAATTTTCCAAACACTCACGTATTGGAAAAGCACATTTTGTGTGAAAAATAGATTGCCGTAAATTATAGGACAAACAAATGCCGTAGAGAAGTGTGTGATAATGACCGATCCATTTGCACCAAACTTTAAACTTGTCAGGATGTTGATTTGTTCCATCCATTTTTGTTTTATTTGGCAACCAAAAGTTTATGAAATTATTCCAAAATAACTCTGGCTGTGGTGTTAATGCCGCCACCGACAACGTTCAAATACCAACTAAAATGCCATCATCAAGAAAAGTTAAACTGAAGCTGTGCGGAAAAGCCAAAAGGAACTCCAATGACAACAAACGAAGATAGCCGCAAGGCGCCAAAAACATGTCGAATTTTGTAGGAAGTAATCAATGTTTATAGTTAACTTCCAAGATTTGTTGTTGGGGTTGATGTTTTTGCTGTTGTTTTTGGAATAAGAATGTAGAACATGTGCTTAATTTGTATGTGTAATTGTGTGTGTGTGTGTGGATATTAAGTTTCATAGTTTATGCTGCCATGAGTTGTTCCAGCATTTGAAGGTCAAGGACTGTTAAAATGTCCTTATGTTGAAATCATTTTACAATGAGTCCTTAAAACTTATAATTAAGATTTATATTACTTAATTTGGTCGTTTACATGGCAATTGTTGTTGACAATGGCAAGTTTGAGGGAATGAGATATTTTCAAAGGGAAAAATATATTTGTAGTACAGGGTTGTCCATATTCGACGGACCTTTGGGCCCATTCCAATCGACGAGGCTAGTCGATTATATGGCCTCTTCGGATTATAAAGAGCCTTACCAGTCGAAAATTTTTTGTATAAACGCTTAATGGTGTTCTTAGAAGGCGCACATCTCAATGTAAATTTCAACTATATATAAGGTTCGAGTAGATCCATATTTTGACAAAACATTTTTTTCGATTTTCAATTGATCGGTTTTCATAGGCGGAAATATGTCGATATAAACTATAGATTTCAAAATCAGAAAACCTCATTATAAGGCAATTAAATGAAGGTTTAGCTAAAATTAGGATGAAACAACTGAGCCCTTTTTATTTTTTAAAAAAATAAAGGCAACATTTTTACTTTTTTGAAACATACAGACAAAAAACGAACAAATTTGGAAATTTTCAAAAAAAAGTCTGTTAAAAATTCTGTTAATATCTTAATCCGAATATAGCCGTTATATTGGAGCCTTATCGAAGTCGTGGAAATGCATTGGCAACTTTTGTCATAAGCCTTTACAATATTCAAGTACGAAACTTGAAAAAAATTCGGTGAATAACGTAGCTTAAATCATCAAAATACCGAATATAAGGAGGTACTATTATATGGGGGATATACCAAAACGTGAACCTGCACAGACAATTTTCTGTCATAGGCTGTAGTACCCATTAGGAATGAAAATGCCAAATTTGAAACAATTCCGGTGAATATTGTACTTAAAATCGTCAAAATACCGATTATAGGGAGCTACTGTAGCTAAAATCATTAAAATACCGAATATAGGGAGGTACTGTTATATGGGAGATATACGATATCATGAACCTAAGTTGGCAATACTCTTCCAGGGCTAAAGTGCATAGAAATAACTTTTTGTGCGGATTTTCAGACAAATTTATTGAAAAATTTGGCTACAATCATCAAAATACCGAATACCGGGGCCATATGATATTATGGACCGATATAGTCCAACTTCGAACTTGACCTGCCTGCGGATAGAAGACTGATCTGTGAACATTTTAGCTTTCTATCTTTATTTGTTTTGACTCTAGCGTGATTACAACAGGCGGACGGACGGACAGGACAAAATCGTCTTAGAATTTTACGCTGATCAAGAATATATATGCTTTGTTAGTTCTAAAATTATTATTTCGATGAGTTACAAACGGAATGACGAACTTAATATACCCTCCATACTATGTATGATGGAGGGTATATGGCAGTGTAATTCCTTATTGCGTCCTTTACATTGTTACCCAGAGAGAGAGAGAGAGAGAGAGAGAGAGAGGAAGACATTGGACAGATGATGTTTCCTTAACAGTGTTGCCGTTTGAAATTTTTATTTCAGCCCAATTTTTTTCTAAAAACCGCCCAAAATCGACCATATCCGCCCAAACTGTAAAAAGTTGAATAATTTATATGTAGTTTGTATTCAAGTAAATTTTATTGAAAATTTTACACTATACATAAAAATGGTACTCAAGTTTTATTACATTCAATGTATTAAATACATTAGAGAAAAGTTTATGTTATTTTACTTCAAGTTTATATATATATATAATAACATAATACAAGAATTCAAGGTATTAAATACATTAAAGTCATTATTATTATTCAGGTTTTTATACCCTACAACACTATGTGTTGGGGGTATTAAAGTTTGATAGGGCCAAAAATTATGTAACACCACGAAATATTGGTTTCCAACATAGGAAAGTATATATGGATCTTCCTATCTCGCCGAGCTGAGTCGATCTAGCTATGTATGTCCGTCCGTCCGTCTGTCCATGTTAATTTGTAATCACCGATCTTCACGAAATTTAGAATGTAGCTGGGGTTAAGGTCAAAATAGAACCCTATTTCTTTTGGAGATAATCGCATAATATTTAGGGGTTGAAATGGACCAAAAACTGAAAAATTTCCTGATTTTGCAGTTGCTCTACAGGTCACAATTATAGACCAATCGAAGCTGGGGGCTAGAGCTTTGGACTGGGCCTTCCAATTTTGATGGTCATCGGGTAATATTTAGTGGTTTAGTAGACCATAGCATTTGCGATAAAATTCAATTTTTCCATTAATCCGCGAATATTTTTACTGCCGGCGAAATCACAAATAGACGAACAGGTCAATTCTGACCGTTACGTAGATGCCGATAGTAAAAATATCGGATATATATAGAGATATATATACAATGTATATATACAAAGGAAGGGGATGTCACCTATAATGCTTATATCTTCAGAATGGCTGGAGCGATTTTGACAAATTTTGTCAATTCAGAATGCCCTCTTGGCATAAAAGTATAAAATCTAAAAAAATCGCATAAAAATATGACAATAATGATGTTAATATAGATTTTGTAGTATTTTGTGACATTTTTTTTATTTTTTTTTCATATTTTTTATCGCATGCGATTTTTTCAAATTGACTTATAATATTGAAGTATTTGTTTTGTAATATTTTTTCACTTTACAACACAGGTTAGGGTTATTATTTATATACAGATTGCAATTATCGTTCGATCCTCACGAAATGTTTCACAAAGGTAGGGTTAGGCTCAGAAGGGCTTAGCCTATTGTTTTCAAAGATGTCCGCAATATATATAAGGGTTGAAATGGACCAGCAACTCAAAATGTTCCTGATTTTGCAGCTGTTATAAAGGTCCCAAATATAAACCTAAGGACACGAAATCTCGCATGAAGTTAGAGCTTAGAACAGCGGGTAGAATGGACCACTACTTTTGTGTAAAAAATACCAACATTACTTACAGGTGATACACAATAGGCGAACTTCTGGCTTTTTATACCCTACACCACAAGGTGGTCAGGGTATTATGTCTTTGTGCATTTGTTTGTAACAGGCAGAAGGAAACGAGATAGAAACATAGTTCCTTTTGATGATCTGCATAGAATCACATTCTGAGTCGATTTATGCATGTCCGTCCGTCCGTCTGTCCGTCTGTCCGTCCGTCCGTCCGTCCGTCTGTCCATGTATTTTTGTAAACAAAGTACAGGTCGCATTTATTGCCCGATGCAGATGAAATTTTGCCAAGATCTTTTGTTTGGCCCAAGGACGAACCCTATTGAAATTGGAGATAATCGGTCAAAATTCAGATATAGCTCCCATATATATCTTCGTCCGATTTGTCTTTTATTGTGCACCAAACGTGTAATATCAGCCCGAATCTTATGGAATTTTGCATATACACCCAAATTAGGCCTGAAAATATGTATGCCAAATTTGATCGAAATCGGTTCAGATATAGCTATAGCTCCCATATATATTGTTCATCCGATTTGTTATTTTTGTCCACCGCCGCCGTAATATGCACTATGCAACAACAATATTTGGGGAAATATATCAAATACAGCTCAGAAATACATTTGCTAAATTTTATCGAGATCGGTTCAGATTTGGATATAGCTCCCATATATAACTTCGTCCGATTTACCTTTTATTGTGCACCAAACGTCTAATATCTTTCCAAATGGGATGGAATTTGGCACTTACGACGGAATTGAGTCTAGAAGCTAGTATGTCAAATTTGGTGAAGATCGGTTTAGATATAGCTATAGCTTCCATATATATTATTCATCCGATTTGTTATATTTGTTACCCACAACCGTAATATGCACTCCGTAACAACGATATTCAGGGAAATATATCAAATACAGCTCAGAAATATTTTTGCCAAATTCTATCGAGATCGGTTCAGATTTGGATATAGCTCCCATATATATCTTTATCCGATTTCAAATTAATTGTGCACCAAATGGGCAATACAATTCCGAATTTAAAAGATACAAATGCTTGGGCATATTTAGTCCTTTGAATTTTAAATTATAATTATAATCATAGCGTGTATGATTGAATTATCCCATAAAAACTTTTAATTGTTATGTGGAGCTCTACTTAATTAGCAAAGTGGTGTAGGGTATCATAAAGTCGGCCCCGCCCGACTTTAAGACTTTCTTTACTGGTTTCGTTGACGAATATAGGCAAATATCGTAGACAAGCAAATCATATAGATGAGTCTAAATTTGGAGACACAGAGGGGCCTCTTGCTTTTGGAGATGATCGCAAAATATTTAGGGGTTTAAAAAAATTTCCTGATCACACAATTGAAGCCAATCGACACGCCTGAGAAGATAGGTAAGCACAGGGAAGAATTCTGGCATTTTGGATGACCATTGGAATATATTTAGCCGTAAAATGGACCACAAAAACTAACAGCACGACGGAGTGCATAAATATTGGGAAAATGTCCCTGGTCCAAATGCTAAGGGTAATATCTGGGCAGTGCTCCGTGACATAATTTCAAAAACGAAATCTTCCAAAATGGATTTGGACATGAGGGGGCTTCTAACATATTGTAGTTTGTAGGGTATCACATGGTCGGCCCCGTACGACTATAGCCTAATGTATTATATATATTATTAAAAAACTTAACAAAAATCTATAAAATA